TAATTAATAATGACAAATATTTGCAGCCTGAATGGAAGAAGATGCCTTTAATTCATGAACAATCTCAGAGACTGAAGCAAAGATTCCTTTAATCTCAGGAGATAAACATCATCCCTGACCACTTAAATAGACCTAATTCCAAAATTTTGTCAGTAGTTACTTTCCATGTATGTTACTGTGAGATTGCCCAATACTTCAGGATGTAAATATTGATGGAAGGAGATCCACCAAGTTTCAGAGAAAATGGTCATGAAGGACAACATGGTGTTGGCCTATGAGAAATAATAAAAAGTGACAGCCCACACAAACAAACATGATGTAAACCTACCAGAATATATTGTTTTGCTAGTCATGGTATGAAAGGAAAACAACTTCTATAATGACTACACATGTTAAATATTTTAATTTTTAATGTATATCTCATCCAGAATCATAATAAATGTAATGAGAACTTTACAATACCACTAAGAATAGATGTATGATTTTGTGAGTATGTAAAGTTGCCTTGATATAATTAAGGGTGGAGCCATCTTTGTGTTAACCTGAAACTAAACTTCTTTTCTACCCTCTCTATAAAACATCCCTTGCAAAGTATCCAAACCTGTTGTAGAAACAGTGGTGCCAAGTGTGCAAATTATTATCTAATTCTAGCTTCTGTTAAGCTTCTTGTTTACATGACTTCCTCCTTCTAACTGTTAACCAAGATATAGGTTTTCTGCCATTTCTGCCCATACCAGCTTCTTGTTAGGTGAATTTCAGGTTTCTCTGTGAGAAGTCTCTCTCTCCAGGTAGTCAACAGGCCCACTTAATAGAGACTCTCAATTTGGACTGTGGTCATACTGAGTTGTCTTTAAGTATTTACTCTGTTGAAGTAATATCTAAAAAAATTATTTAAAGCACATAGTGCATTAGAATGGTGGTTCAAGACACAACTTACATCACATTAAGTTAAGAACTAGCTTTATGAAAATCACACCATATAAACACACACACACACACACACACACACACACACACACACACACGACACAGCTGTTAGAGATAAGTGAATAACTGGTATAATAGAATCATACAGAATACATAACAGAAAAATATATGCCAGCAAAAATTGCAAGAAGAAAGACAATATCTAATCAGTGATACCTAGATGAAATCTTTAGTGTCTTTATTGAAACGTTGTCTGGCATAATCATGAAGAACTCCTTACTCTAGTGTATAAATGGTAGGAAAGAAACACCAGTGTGTTAGAATGTCCATCAGTGCCTTGCACTGGGAGGAAACTCTCAGGACACCATATTTTATTACTGCAGGAGTATATATGTGACATCCTTTTTAGTAGGGTGAGATCCCTTTGAAGAAGTAGGCAGAAGCAGCTGGGAATCAGTACCAGGCTGAACCAAGCAGCACTAGGGAAGACACTGCTACTCCACATACTCATCAGCCATGTGAGGATGGTCAGCTGAACAATCAAGAACTAGGGAAGAAATTTTGGCAGTGTATCCTGGAATTTGAAGAAGTTAAAGCAAAATGAGTAGATGAGCTGAGATTGTTGGAACTACCAGATGCCTATAGTATCTCATTCTCCATGCACTGGTATTACAGTATACTCTAGGAAATGGATACAGCAAAATAATGGAAAGTATTCTATTAAGTGAGGTAACACAGGCCCAGGAATCACTAGCATACACTCTTTCTCAGCTTGGTTGAATTGCTTGTAGTCATATAGAAATGTGTGTTTATGTAGGATGAATGTGTTTAGCCCAGAAAACTAGAAAAGACCCCATAATATGGTTAAAAAGAGCTTCTGTAAGAGGCTAGTTAAGATAAGAAAACATATGATATGAGTAAAGATGGAAAAATAATGATTGTAAAACAGCTATGCTGGAATAAGAGGAGGAGATGGGGAGGAGAAAGTTTGGGTCAAACAAAACAGTAAATACTAAAAAACCATAAATCAATCAGCAACTCCTAAGATAATTAAATGTAAAACAAAAAGAAAAATTTAAAATTGAAAGAAGTATTCAAATTGCAAACTTAGAAATGATT